CATGTCCGAGCGCGGGATGTCGTTTACAATAAGTGCAGCACTAGTACACATACACATATGGCATCGACGGTCAACAACAACAGTGTAAATTTGTCGCGAAAAGCTGTGCGCGAAAGGGTGGCGGCGCGGGGCGCGCGGAGCGGACGGGGACTGCGGAAGGGGTCGCTCGCACACACACACACACACACACACACACACACTCACGCTCGATGGTTGCAAACACTGCGGTGCCTTATTGGCCGCAACACGTCCCGATAATCGCAACGCTTTTCTTTTATTCATAGCTCCACCCCTATCGGTCTATTTTCTGCGCTCTTTAGCCCCCCTCCCCCTCCCCTTTGCCCCGCACCACGCCCTATCGCGCCCTCGCTTCCCGTGGGGCTCTCCCCCTCTCTCACTTATGCTGCTGTTCGGACATCATCCAGTTATTTGCAAAACGTATCCGGTTTCCCCTTCTCTTTTTTTTCGGGGAGTTGTCGATTTGTTTGGTTTTCTTTTTATTTCTCACTTTACGCGGTGACGACACTACCTGAATAACCCTCCACGTGCAATCGCTGCTGAGAGAGCCACCTCTCTGACAAGACAAAACCATAGAAATGCAGCCTGATATCGATCTGTGACCTCAGAAGTCATTTCTCTAACAGGGGTTTCTAAAGTCAAGGTAAGTCAAGTCACAGATGAATGCCGATAACATACCTACATGTCAAAAGTTCTCGCGGTATTACAGTACTTTTCCAATCATTATTATTTTTTTAACGAAGTAGAGTGTTTTTTTTTTGTTGTTTTTTGTTTTTTGCAGTGTGCGTCCAGTGGCTGCTGCAGTTTCGCACCCCTGCTCGCCCTCTAGGGTCGCGCCCCGCTTGCCATTCTGGGCCGCTGGGGTGGGACGGAAGGGTTGCGATTTGCACGGGGGAGAGCTGCACAGCGGCTCGCCGCCCGCGATTGAATGGAAGGGGTGTCGAGCCGACAATGGGCGCGCTCTATTGGAGGGGATGACGCCTCTGGGGGGCGATTATTTGCAATCGCCGCCCGTTTTGTTATCGATCGTAATTGACTTGTTATTGGATTGATTCGGCGCGCTCCGCCGGTCCATCAGATGAGTGTGTTGTTGTTGTGGATGACGCGGGGGTGAAGCGCGCTTGCGGAGGGCTATCAGAAAGCTACCCCGGAAGCGCCCTCTAAACCAGTCGTCACAACAGGGTGAGCTGGTAGTATGGTGTAGCCGGAAGGGTGGTAAAGGGGACGTCTTCCTGAGAGCTCTCTCGTCGCGTTTGTAAAAAAACATCTACTTATTTGTTTATGAAAAGGGCCCTCGGCTTCAGCGAATGTAGTAGTAGTATTTCGATTGAATATGTCATGGGGCATTTTCACTGTGTATTTCGTGCCGCGCGTCCTCAGCGAGGATGCTAAGAGAAAGGGAAGGGGGTGGGTGGGGGGGAGGGGATGTGGACCAGAGAGATAAAGGTGAGGGGAAGGGGGGAAGCGGGGGGAGGAAGGTCTTCCCTCCTCGACGACGACGGTTCCGCCCCGGCGGCGGCCCCCGCCCGCGCTGCCGATGGGTTGACGACGGTTGATGGTTTGATGGCCCGAAGTGTCCGATGGGACGTCCCTTAGTGTCTCCGGCCACGACATGTTCGCCAGTGTCGGGAGGGCGGCCCGGCAGCGGCGGCCCCCCGTGGAGGGATGGAGCTGTGCAAACACCGCGAGCCCGGCCAGCACAGCACGGTCTGGTCGATGGTCGTCGCATCGAGAGGGTCTCCGGGTCGCGAAAACCATTAACCCCCACGTTCACGGGCAAATATTTTTAATATTTTGACCTACATCGAGCAAAAAATTATGTGGGCCGAATTTTTCGTGTCTCGTGATTCGCGTTTCTACACGACGAATTTTTGTTTCCTTTTTCGGCACGAAATAAAGAAAAACAAAGTCGCTGTGGTGCAAAAAGAGAGCGAAGCAAGGGAGGCAGGTGGTCTGTTTATGTTACCACACTTTGCTCTCTCCGCGAGGTGCTCTCTCGCCTTTTAACACGACCTCGAATTTTACTACCCTTCTTCGATTTGGTATTTACCCAGTTTTATTGCCCCTTCGCCCGCCCCGTCGTCCGTCGGATGGGGTGGGATGGGACGTAGCAAGGAGGGAAAGGGGGGGGGGGGTCGCGTGTCGAAGGCTCACTGGGAGCAGGACGGGGAGAGGGGGAGGGGACTCGTACATTTCACGAGCTAATAGAAACCTACTGGCAGCGGCAGCGTGCAGCGCCCCCGCAGAGGGAAGTGCCAGCCCGCAGCCCGGGGGCCGTCGTCAGTGGCCGCACCCCTTGAAAGGGACTGAAAGAAACCCACTGAGGCCACAGACGTTTCAAGACCGGTTCATACCAGGTGGCTGATTGACCCCGCTCACTTCTGTAGTCATGCTGTACCGCACGCACGAGAGGCGGGCGGGCTTGCCTATCGCCCCTGTCCACTGCGCCTTACGGGCCGAGCGAGTAGGCAACCCACCCGCCCGAGTGCGTACAGTACAGCATGACTAAAGAAGTGAACGAGGTTAATCAGTCACCTGGTATACTGCAATAATCGGGTTTGACACTTCATCCATACTTGCAAGTCTCTGCCCAGCCCAGAATTCATATTCCGTATAAAATTTTCCGAAAAAGCCAAAGTTAACGTTCGGTCACCTGCGGCACAGATGACCGTCGATTTTTCACTCGATGCTGCTGTGTCCGGATTTCGTAATTGGGAGCAATCGCCTAATTGATGTTTTGTTGTCGATAAAGTCGGTTTACTGCCCGTCTCACGTCCATGGGGGCGGCCGTCGTCATGACGAAGCAGTAAACATTTTTTTTAGAGCATATCGGGGGAGGCAGAAAGGACAGAGAGAGGGACATGTGCGGTCGTGGAGCCCAGCAAGATTGTGTGGGGGCGGGGAGGGGGCGGGAGTGGGGGGTGGTGACAGGGTGCGCTCCTCTCGCGACGATAATCCCACACGCTATGGAGGTTTATGGGCCCCCGCCTCCTTCTGCTGGTCATTTTGGTCGACCTCCTCGGGTCCTGCACCATTGCCACCCCCCTCCCTCTCCCCCCATCTCCACTTCCGCCCTTCCCTCCCCTTTCCAGTCATTTGCGTCCTTCATCATTAAGGTCGTCTGCAGGGGATTGGCTATTGACAGCGCCCGGGGGCGCTAAGCACAACGGACGCTCGCTCTACTCGCCGGAGGAGCGCTTTCGCAAGGCCTCTCCCCCTCCGCCGCCTCCCCTCACGGCTGCGGTCGCACGGCACCGCCGCCCGGCACGGTAGGCCCCTCGCGAGCAGCGGCCCGACCCCGGGCTTAACGCCAGGCAAAGGTGTACGCACGCGGGGACATCGGAATCGGAAGTACCCGGGTTCCCTTTTTCCCAGCTGGAAAGACCTCACCTCCGCCCCGAGCTACGACTGTCCTTTTGGGTGGAATGCCTCCCCGCCCCTTCCGCCCCGCTGGAAATACCAGCGTCGTATCGTCTCTGGCCCCGCCGCGCCAACGACGGCCCGGTGGCTTCTCTCCGAACGGCCGAATGGCCCCATTGTTCTGGTCGGATGGCGATGGCGAGGCGAGATGCGAGACGGCGGGGATCTTGACGTTTCATCGAGCCAGACTCGACTCAAATCAAATCAAATCACATCGCAACAACAAGGCGATCTTCTCGGCGGTCCCGGCTCAGTGCGCCGGGGTGGCCACCGCCGCAAAGTCCCCCCTCATCCCCTCCCGCCCGCCAATAGTTGTCGGCCCCCGCCCGCCCGGTCGCGGCGCACCCTCTCCGTCTCCCCCTCTCGCTCGCACGCCTTATATCGCGGGGGCGCAATCCCGGGGCGCCGCGGCAAATGGCTGGGCGCCCGCTGTTTGGCGCGTCCTTAATGAAAATCGATGTTGTCAGCCCGGTCGGCCCGGCCGGCCCGGTCAGAGAGAGGAGGGCGCCTCGCTCATCGCGCCTCCCGCCGCTCTCATGAGCACCCTCGCAGCACTACCTCGCCTCGCGGCGCGGGGCGGGGCGGGCGTCGCGCAGAAGGGTTGAGAGAAAGTGTCTTGCCCCGGCCTGGCCCGGCCAGCCGCCACCCCCCCCCCCCTCCCGCCACAAACTTCGCTTTTGATTGAGACAATAAAGAGCCATGGTCCTTTTGCCCCACCACCACCACCACCACACACGTGCAGCTGATGGCCCCGCCAAGGTCTGCACTGTTTCTCCCGGTTTCACGACGCCCACGTGGAAAGCCTAAGTGCCGATGGGCCCGCCGCCCCCGCCGCCGCCCCCGCCACGCGTGCGAGGCGTAAAGCGCGGATTTTGGTCACACAGAGGTTTCGTGATGACACGGCCACTCTCGCCCTCGGTCTAGATGGTCCAGAGGTCTTGAGCAGGGGCGACCGTACTTTTATTGTCAGAAAGGCGTCCAAGCCGCCGCCGCCGCCGCCGCCGCCGCCGCCGCCGCCGCCCCCCCCTCCGCATTCATGTGAAAACTAAGTGCTCCTAAAGGTACTCACAACAGTGATGGATTGCCGGGGGCTCTTCCGCGAAACGAACCGGAGACCAACACAAACCGACCAAACCCGTGGGCGTAGGTACGGGTAGCGTCGTCCGCAGTGTACGCAGAGGCAGCAAGGGGGAAGGGGGGTGGGGGGGTTACTCCCCGGGGCCTGTTCAGTGCAATGAGGCAGACTGTTTTAACAAGACGCCGGACGCCGGCCACCGCCGAACATCCCCTCACCCAATAGGGGCACCAGATGGATAAAAAAAAATATAGATATATGCCCAATCGAGGCCTTTTGGCCAGGGGCCAGAGGCGCGGACACCGGCACAGGTAGCCAGAGTAGTAAACGCAGTTTGAGTAATTGTCAAGATCCAAGACTTCAAGATATTGTTCGTGCAATATTTCCGTCACGAACGCCAGAACAAGTGCTGCGAGCCAAAAGCAAAGCAATCACTGAGACTGATTTATGAACAGTCGAATACTTAAGGAAAAGTTAAACACAAATATTTGTTTGGCCATTCTTTTTAGCTCGCCCTTTTATTTATAATATAAAACTTCAAAACAATTCTCCTGGCTTCCTTAAATCCTTCTCAATCACAGACAAGATTTGAAGCACCAATATATATACATTCACAGTACATATGATGAAACTAAAGCAGAACAAAGTCATTGTTAGAAAATGAGAAAAAAAAACTACAGAAAAGAAAATAGCATTTTCTGCACATTTGATACACCACGGTAAATCTCAAAATCAAAACATAACCAAAGCCATCAAAATGGCTAATAAAATTTACTGACGTGGCAAGTCCACAGTAACAATTAGAGCATTCATAGCTAAACTCAATACGTTTAGGAAAGACAGCAATGCCAGATGAAGTGTACTTGTGATGGCACAAAGACAACACAATCAAGATTTTACAAGTTTAAGAAAGGAATGAGATAACTACGAACCAGCGTTTTTGGCCGGTGGTCTGTAAACTCCTACAACAACTGCATGATCTCGTTCATAAGGTTCAAGGGTCAACTGCTCCTTGGGTTTAAGTTTGTCTGCCTGAAGTTTCTTGACCTCTTCAGCAAATACAGCCTCAGGTGCTGCAGTGGAGTCAATGCAATTTGCCTACAAAATTGAAAATAGTTTAATAGATGAAAATGGGTAAATAAAAAAATAAAAATAAAGTGTATGGCTTTTAAAACTTACCTTAATAGAAATAACAAAGTGGCCTCCATTTTTCAAGAAATACTGAGCATTTAGAGCAACAATACGGGCCTGATCAGGTTGAGCAACATCAGCAAACACTGTGTCAACCATTCCAACAAGCATTCTATATTTGTGTGGATGTCTGGCATCTTCAATAATGGGAATGATATTTGTTCTCTTTTTGGCAACATTAATTAAATCTCTTCCTGATCTGTGGGAGAACTCTACAGCATAGACGAGACCTTCCTACAATGAAACAAACAAGTTGAATTAGTTCCAAAGTTTAAAATTATCTACTAATGGAAACAGAAAAGGAACACAAAAGAAACTTACAGGTCCAACAACATCAGACACATGTGAAACTGTGGTGCCAGAAGCAGCTCCAAGGTACAAAACTTTTGAACCTGGTGGCATGTGAATCTGATCCACTCCACCAAGGATAGCAGCAGCCAACTTGGATCGGAAAGGATTCCATACTCTGTATTCAATTTTGTCTGCTCCCTCATTCTGGGGGGAAATAAAGCGACATTAGAAAATCAGGCGTGTCCCGAACTAGTCAATAAAAGATCCTGAACCTCATTTCACTTCAAACTACCTCAACTTGTATTCTCTTTTCACCATACACAGCATCCCCAGGAGCCATATTGATAGTTACGAGGGCATCTTCTTTACCACGGGCGATGAAGACACCTTCATGACGATGAGGTTCAATGATAACTTGCTTGCCACCTCTCATGCCTGGACACGACATTATATTAGCATACAATAAACAAATCATAAAGCCATAAGAAACATTAGTAAACACAGGTCAAATCTGAAACTTACCACCTCCGCCACCTCCACGGCCTCGTCCTCCACGACCGCCACCACCACGTCCTCCAAATCCTCCGCGGCCGCCACCACCACGGCCGGGGCTCTTAAAACCTCCACGATCTCCACCACCGCGGCCACCTCCAAATCCTCCACGGTCACCACCGCCGCGGCCACCGCCGAACCCCCGGCCACCTCCACGGCCACCTCCGAACCCCCGGCCACCACCACCACGACCTCCAGCAGGAGAGAATCCTGCAAAGATAAGAGATGATTATTTAAGGTACCAAAAATGCATCGATTTCGAAATAACCTCGTTCTTTTTCAAGGTTCCAGTTTGGAACACAATGCCGATGAGCTACAGAAAACGTAATGAAATACAAAATAACACAAAAATATAAGCCATTATAAGGTGGACGGCATCCTGCACCTGAGGATTGCATGTGAGTTGGAGGTTATGAAGATAAGACTCGAAAATAAACAAAAGCGAATAAGATATGCGGCAAGAGCCGTGATACTGTAAGATGGAAATTTAATAAGATGCACCAAATTGAAAAGCCTCCCCGATGGAGCAATGTTTTCCAAAATATCGATTATTAGAGGTCCACCACATGGTGCAACGCATGTGCCCGGCGAACGACGCCAGGCATGGTCACGAACTATATGGGAGAAATTGAATAATCTCGGCGTTGAAATCGTTCAAATAAACGGAAGAAACGCCTGACATACCTGGACGACCCATGACGACTTCTATGCCTTCAAAAGTATTTGATTAGAACTAAATTATCTTCTTGGCCAGGCAAAGCGTTGCAGCTAGCCAACACCAAACACCACACCGACCACACGACCACACGCGCTTCCCCCACTCTCCCACTAGCACAAGCACAAATGTGTGATGCCGGAAATGAATAACCAAGGTAAACAACTACCAGCTTCACCAACCTGTAGTTAGATAGAAAACTCTAGCTGGCATTCGTTACATAATAATCGTAAAAGAAATCAACTTTCATCCAAACTAGTTGATTTTCATTTTAAAACAAGAAATAAAACATCAAATCCTTTATTGACGCCGGAAACTTGTGTGAATCCTACCGAAAGCGTTTTAATTTTGTCAGTCAGATTGGTACTCTGACGTCTTTTTAAATTTCTCATACAGTAAAAGCGTATGAAAAATTCTAAGTAGCCAGTTTAGTTTTGGCGGTTCAATGCCGAGCCGAACTGTCGTTTGTAAACGTAAACAATCTCCAAGAACTGCTACTTGTCAAAGCAGTTTTCTGGAAACGCTGAAAGAATCTGGCTCAATTCCCCATGGACAACAAATTTTGATCTCGTATCTGTCTTTAATGTCTCGAGCTCAATTAAAAATGTATTAATTTTTTTAAGATTGCAAGGTAAGGAATGTGGCAATGTATTAACTATTTTGTTAGTTTGTAGGAAGTTTGTTTATTTCCTTGTAGTTAAATTCATTAGAATTTTTTATTCTGATTAGTTGCTCATTTTTTTCTTGGTCCGCTGTTATAGATGACATCGTATTTAGGAGGCGGGCTTGCGTCTTTGGATCGATGGGAAGGTCTGAAAGAATGGCATCGAAGACATCAAAGTATTTTAGGAGAGACCTTAGGCAGAGAAACGACAGGTTTGACGATGTGTATTTGGTATGCTAGAATTCTTGGTTTTTCATTTCTAAAGAGTCAGTCTAATATCAATTTATCCATGTTTCAGGACAGACAAATCAAATCCAGGATTTTTCTTCAGATAATAGTAGCTTTGCACTTAAGGTATCTAACTAAATATTTCTATCCTACCTGAAACCATGCAATATTATTCTGTCATATTTTTAAAATCATTTCCCTTTGCTGTTTATTTTAGGATGCTTTTAAACCTGACGATGTTTCAATGGAAGTAGATTTATTGGCTCCACCTGCCGTCAAGCACGACCTCTCCATCATTCCAGAAGCAGATGAGGATTCTCGCTCCAGAGACGGAGACAGAGACACCAGGAGTAAACAAGAAAAACAATTAGACTTAATTGTAAATAAGAAGGGCGGAAGTGGCAGTGGAACAATTAAATTTACTGAAGGAAACAAGAAGCACACAGAAAACTTGAGCCAAGACTCCAACAAAGTGGTGAAGAGACCTTTTCTTCGGAGAGGTCAAGGACTTTTAAAATATCGATTACAACCTGATGATTTAAAGAAACCTTATCAAACTGGTTCCTCTAAGCCAAATACTGTTCAGAACAGGAAAAGCAATCCAAAACCTAGTAACTTCTCTATGAGACAAGTATCAAGTAATGCTGCACGACCTACAAAACCAGTGAATGAAGGACAATATAATTCAACCAAAACATCAAAATCTGATGACTTGTCAGCTCCTGTACAGCGTCTGGTTCTCTCCATCCCTTCTCAAAAAGCCAGCAGTGTTGATATTGGTACCTGGTCTCAAGTCTTTGAAGCAGAGGAGAAACCTTCATCAGTTAGTGCTCCAGAGAATGTTCCTAGATATTACAAAGATCCACAATTAAACAAAGAAGATAGATTTAGATCCATTTTGACAAGAACTGAGCCCCAGAAATCAAGAGGTAATATGTCGCCCGTGAAAAAAGTAACAATTTCAAAACCAGATTCATCCCCAGAGGTAAGTTCTTAACCGAAATTTTTCCCTCATTCTTCTCTTATTTATCTAATTCATTTATCTGAATTTGCAGGAAGATCAAGAATCTTTGGCAGCATACTTGGATTTAGAGCAACATGTTGGAAATGCAAGTTTCTGTTCAACATCTTCTAAAGTGGACAGACTCATCGCAAAGTCGTCTAAAATTGCTCTTCATCAATCCAATCCAGATGCAATAACTCAGTCAAAACAATTATCACCTATAAAAACAGGGCGCAAATTTGTATGCAGTGCAAAAGATAATAATAGCTTATCTGAAGACCATCACACAATGTGGTCTGTTTCTGACCTAGAAAATTTAATTAAGTCTCGTGCTCGACGTTCAGGATCTCTTCTTAAACCACAGAGTCAAGAATTGGACTCTGACATATCTGAAAAAGCACAATTAAATAGTGTTGAAAATCTACCTTTTATGAGATCTGATGATAAGGAGCTTTGTGAGTCATCTCAAGCACAACCTGTTTCTCAAAATGTTGATTGGATGCTTGAAATTTTGGGACCAGCTAGAAAACCCCACCTCATGAAGACAATGTCAAGCATAGACCTTGATAGCAGTCTTATAAAAAACGCTCTTTCTAAAGAATCGGTTGAAAATGTTGAATCAGATTCTGATTCCAGTTTGTCTGACAGTTCTTCAGAAGAAGAGAGTGAAGAGGAAATATCGACCAGAATGAAGACATCTAATATCTCAGAGCAATCCATTCAAGTTATGGAATCCCCTGTAGCTGTCAAAGAAACATCTCCCCAAAAACCTTTCAAGTTAATGAATGATGCGAACCTCGAAGAAATAAATCACCAAATTGAATCTCACCTCTCTGATTTAAAAAAAGAAATTGAAACTTTACAGTCAGCTAAGAATAAATCACAAAAGTACACTACCTCATTGGAAAAAAAGGTACTTGTAGTTAAACTTTTGACACTAGACCTTCATTAGAAACTTTAATATTTTAAAATTGCAACATTTTAAAATTATTTACTTTTAGGTTCAAGAGTTGGAGAACAGATTAATGATTGATACTCGATCTTTCAATAAACGGTTAGAAGATGAGAGGGAAGCTGCTGCCAAGAGGCTTTCTGAAGAACTAGGGAAATTTTCTAAAGAGAAGCAAGCTCTGCAGAGAACCTTACGGGAAGAACGTAGGAAGGCACCAGATCCTATAACCCATCAGGAAGTGCTGCGTCTAAAACAAGAGGTAAAGTTACTGGAATATAAAATTGTCATAGCTCAGGTTAAAGCAAAGAAAACGAAGTCTTTATATCTACTTAATATTTACTTAAAAGATTGCAGACTGGGAGGAGAGATGGAGAACAGACCGTGCCAAAGCAAGAGGTCTTGAAAGTAATCTCAGGATTCAAATCACCAATTTGAAGAGAGAAAATGATAAACTAAAAGAAGACAATAGTAAATTAAAACGAGAGAAGGTAAGTACATAGAAAAGTCTGTGCATTGCTTATACTTTCCAGCTCTTAAATTTTTTTATGAACTGTTATTTTTGCAAGGAAACTGCTGTAAACACAGCCAAGGCCAAGGCTTCTTCAAACACTCGAGTCATCAATTCGATTGCTCAACAACTTGGGAGTGTCAAACCAAAGGTAACAGTTGTTAGAGAAGAGAATTCAAAATTTGGCAAGCAACCGAAAGGTTCAGCATATAATCTTAAGTCAGGTAAAGACACTAGTAATCATAAGGCACAAACTACTATAGAGAGTTTCCCAAATGTTCCTCATAAATCAAATGAGTGGTCGACTGATGAAGAAGTAGACCTTGGCAAAGAGACATCTGATGATGATGTGGGTGGTGATAGTGACTGTGAATTAGATGCTGCTGGAAAGTCATTGCAATCTCGTATATCTCTCTTGAGAAATGGCAAAGCAGATTCTCTTAAGGCTTCCTCTTTGGAGTGTGAACCCTTTGACCTAGATGAAGCTCAAGCAAAATATGATGCTATTTTTGGAAAAAGTGGTATTGATGCAGAAATAACAACTGGAAATAAAGGAAGTCCGCCAAGTCTACCACCAACTCTGGAACCACTTCATTCTTCAGGTAATCATTTTGTGTAACATTAATGCATTAATTTTCCATTGTTCATAGTCCTCTTTTGATTAGAAACTCCTCACATAGCCTTTCTGTGGTTGTCAGGAAATCATATTTCATCTTCAAGTACATATGAAACTGAGAAATTTATGAGATCAATACATCATCCCGACGGTAAACTAGAACAGGTAAAAGAAAATGGCACAAAAATTATAACTCACCCAGATGGCACCTGGACACGCCACAGCTCAAGTGGAAGTGTAATGACAGTTCCTCCTAGTGGTTGGCCAGTTCATATTTCATATTTTAATGGGGATCAATTGGAGAAACTAAGTGATGGTACCACCCACTATTTCTATGCCAAGACAAATGTATGGCAGACTACATACCCCGATGGTCATGAAGAACTCAGGTACCCAAGGTATTAAATTTTGCTAAACACAATGTTTTGAGGTAAATAGAAAATAAATGTACCTCTAATACCGTTTTTATCTTTTTTTAAATTAGTGGTCAAGTTGAGCAAAGGGAGAAATCTGGCTCTGTAAAGGTTCTTCTTCCAGACGCTGACAGACGAAGAAATGGTAAAGAACATGAAAGTGATTTGACTTCTTCTGCAAACGGAATAGCTGTGGAACAACTTCCTAATGGAGACTCTATTATTCTACTGCCTAATGGAGAAAAAGAACTTCATACTAGGGACTACATGGTCAGTGAACTATTCTTATTAGTTACATTTATTCTATTATATTTTTAAATATACCTACGTGTTCTTTTCTCAGTGCAGAACAATAACTGCTATAAGCAGTACTACAGTTTTGTTTTGTGAAATGTTTCAGAGAAAGGACTTCTTAGATGGAACTGTCAAATTTATGTACAAAGATGGGAGCCAAGAAACCAAATATCCAAGTGGAAGAATACGAATAAAAGATGCTCACGGCAACCTAGTGAAAGACACAGGTCTAACATTTTAAGTTGTGAAACTTTGCTCTTATGTTCTTAGTTATGTGGTTTTTACAAATGTACTTTATTTAAACATGTTAGCAATTTCTATTTTTATTCAGTGAACTAGTTTGACTTGTAAGATCATGTTCCTCTCTACATGACTACAAGCCAAACTAGTTTACATAACTTGTATATTGCAAGATTCCTCCAAGCCTGTGATAATTGGAATACTTGCCAATTGGACAAATGCACAATTTTTCTCTTCAGTTAGGGTTAAATTGTCTTTAGCCATAACTACATTGTTAAGAACTTAAGAGAGCATGAAGGGGCAAGTTGACATAAATATTTACTGCAATGGTACCCTGTGCTTTGCCTCACTTAGTCGCTAGAGCAGAAGACTTGCTACACAATTTCAATTTTAACAAACATTGATATAGGTAAAAAAAAAGTGTTCAACAAGTTGTATTGAAGTATTTTAATTTTATTAGATGTATTTAACAATAGCTTATATCAAATAGAGTTTTACTTATCTGCAACTTATCTTTTCCCTTGTCCACTCAGATCCTGGCACATTAGTTTGGTTGTTACTCAAGACTTGTCCTACATCTAATTGATAAGGAAACTGAAATACTGCGTCAGGAACACCCCACATTTTCCATAAAACACTTAAAGAAGCGTTGTCAAGTGCATCTTTAACTGATTCTCCATCACCTGTAGAGAAATGATTTATGACATTAGGAGGCAAAATAAGTAAACAGCACTATTACATCTCAAAAATTATCTTTTTCAGAAAAGAAATGTACCTGTCCCTATGTGTTTCTTTTCTGAGTATATTCCAACTCTGTATGATGGAATAATTGTATTTATTCCCACATGTGAGATTAGTCTTGGTTCTGGTGGCTCTTTCCCTTCCCTCAAAAATATCTCCCTCAACGTTTCAAATTTGTTTTCAGGCATAATGAGGGCATTAATATCTTGACCACTAAGAGAAGCTATGATAAAGTCACGAACAAATAATGCACCTCGTTCTTGACCACTGCTTTCTTCTATTGCACCAATTAAGGCATAAAATGTAGATACTCGAGTTTGTATTTCAGTAGGGAATTCCTGAAAAATTATTGGCACAGCACAGTTAAAATTATTTAATTGCTATTCATGGAACAAGCTTTGAAAATTCATAAAAGTAAACTTACTGATGTAAGGATGAGTTCATCAGCTCCTATGTTAGAAATAATATTTGCAACACTTTCTGGTTTCAGTAAATGATCTCTAATGCTCCTAATTAGATAAGATTGTATTAAATTAGAGAATTAAAAGTAAGGGAGCAAGCTTTAGAAAGGAAATTAAGTACGAATATACTCACTGTATGTTTTCCTCTGGTAGGCAAGGTAGGGCAGTGCGTAAATAACGAGCAACAAAGTCTCTAGAAAGCTCTTCACCTTTCTCTGCTAAAGATCTATTGTCTTCCAAAACGCGATCAGGATCATCAAGTCCTAGATCTTTTTGTGTGGCTTCTTGCTGTAAAACATAAGACCTAAAGAACAAAAATATTTAAATAAGTCAATGTTCGTTTAACTTTCAATTAGGGATGCATAGTTAGTAGACATGTTACCATGTTACCTTTGAGTAAACGCTCTTTCAAGAGAACCATTCATGAAGGTCTCACCAATCCGTTTGGAAAAAGCAAACAATTCAGACTTGTAATTCCTGTAAACAGATGACACAATTTATTCATCTTTTGATCAGGACCATCTCACTGACAACCCTGGAAATAAAAAAATATGTTTACCAATCCAAATATGTTCCTCGGTGTGCTTTCTTTTCTGGGCCAGCTTCTTGCTTCCGTTTAAACAGTTCCCTTATCATGTCAGCCCTTTCGTCTGACTGCTTCCTGCCATACACGGTTCGGACAACTGGAAAACAAAACCGACACCTTTCTATAAGAAATATTTGCTAACCTAAAAACTTTGGAAGTGAGTCCCATTTTTCGGATTAATTTAAACAACCCCACTGGTCATGTACGCTTGGAAAAGACACGAATATTGTTAACGACCAACAATTATATTACCTTGGTACTTGACGCATGATTTTTTGACGGAATTTCGGAATAACACTGAAGCCGCCAAACACCCCCGAATCGTCGCCATGTTGATAGCACGCTTTCTGCTTCTGCTTTCTAGCTGACCAACTGTGCACCCATGGAGTGGTACACTATTTACATCCATTTCTATTTTAATTACCAGACAGGCATCTTCTTCTCACACTTATTTTTTATTTATTGAGCTACTTTAAAAGTGAAATGTCTGTACTTTTTTCATTTTATAAAAACAACATGACCTGTCTTGTGTTTATGCGTTGGTATGAATCAGGCATTATGAGCGGGAAATTTGACCCAGAGAACAGAGAAATCTTGGGAAAAATGACAATTAGCTAGTATAAACTGTATTTGTTTTTATTGCAAAAATATAAATAATGTACAAAGCTATTACTTTAACATCATAGCATTTCATTTTATGTCAATTATAAATTAGATTACATTTCATATAATGGTCTTTTCTAGGAGAAATTAAATTACCAGATTGCATTGGATACACACATCACTAATCCTTGCTAGCGCACAAGAAAAAATAGCAATACAGAGATTACCATACTGAGCAGACAGATAAACACAATGACTGGTAATTGAAACAGGTTCAGATACATATGTCATCTGAACTAAGTTAAGTGCAGAGGTCAAAGCCCTATTCCTTTTAATAGAAAATTAATATATCCTATTAATTAACTCGCACTCTATGTACAGATTTTTAAAAAATTACTTTTTAAAGGCACTTAAAAACCATGAATATGACTGTAAAATCACATCTTACAAGTAACAACTACCAATTTTGCAGTAGAGTTGCTCATGTTGGTGATAATGTACTGGGTATCTAGAACAAAAGGGTGTGATTTAAATTAAGAAGATTGAGTTAAGGGAATTCAAAATCAAAGGACATGTGCAAGAAATATTTACCATGAGGCACAATAAAGAATGAACCTGGCGATAGTGTTGTTTTATCATTAGAACACTCATAACTGATGTCACCTTCCAATACATAAAATACCTGTAGCAGAAACCAATTTTATTCATTTAAAAAAAAAAACAAAAAAAACACACACACACATCAAAAAGAATACTTTTGCAATAACATTAGGAATCTAAATTCAGTGATACTTCAAGTTTAAAAAAAATTGTGCAGCAAATACTTGCAGAAGTAATTATTCACCTGATTGTGGTTGTGAAAAACTTTTTCATACTTTGCTGCAACACCTAGAGCAAGCATGTCTCCCTTTAGACCACTTCCTTGGACACACCTGAATTCTTGCATTTCATTTACAGAACAACTCAGGTCTTGCTTTACACTACTAATCAAAACATTCTTTAAGTCAGAGGATGGGCAAGATTCTAAGTTTTGAGAAGGGTTTTCAGATTCTGCTGATTTCATCTTTTTAAGTGCTTTCAAAATGTTTGGTTTACTTGACTTGGATACCTTCCGTTTTTGGCTCTTCGATTTTCTTCTCTCATTTTCATCATCTGTAAAAGTGCAATCAAAGATGAGTGCTAAAGAGCATTCTAAATAAGGAGGAAAGAATCATACATACCATCAAACAATGCTGGGGATTGTGTTGGATTGTACTGTTTACTTTTTACAAGACCTTCAAAATCATTATCAGTATTTCTTGATTTCTTTCCAAGCCAGTACATAGAAGGTGGCTTGCGGACGCGTTGAGAGTAGCGAGGTTCTGTCCAGATAGAACAGAGAAAAGTGTTATATTCTTGAAATGTGAACAGAAGATTTTATAATGGGTGCACATGAAAACCCACCTGTTACTTGCTGTTCATTGTCATTACTTGGTACTGATAGGTGGGTGTACCTCTCGTCTGTTTTTCTTCTGCTTGGTTGTTTGTTACCTTGTATTTTCATGGCTCTATTCTTTCTGTCCGTTCTAATATCTGAATTTTTAAGTTGCTTTGTCTCACTTTTATTTTGTGAACCAGTTTGCAAACATTGATCTTCCTCTGTTTGACTATCTTTCTTTAGATCTTCATTAAACAGGCCAATGTCTATAGTAAAAAAAAAAAACCATACATCAAACAATGCAGAAATACATATCCATTCTGTATTAGCATGCCACATATTGTCCACACACTCAAAATGCCAAGAGTGGATTTTTCATCAACATTATCTCTGGCTCATTCCAGATATGAATGATACTTACCATCGAAAACTGGGGTCTCATGAATATTCTCCACACAAATTCTGGCGTTCATTGGAGATATCTTCCTTTCCCTCTTTGTTTTCTCAGTTGATGTTTTCATATGACGAACATGGCCCTTAAAATTATGTAACCTTTTATTTTCACTAGACTTGTTACCTGATCCTGGTTTAGAAGACTGAGTTTTGACTACACAGAAAATAAATCAAAGATGAATGATAGAAACAAGCACATGATGTTGATGTATGATTTTGTAATTAGCAGCCACTAATGTCTGAAGTGTGCACACACCTGAACCGTCTTTTTCGGCAAAGGGATCACTATCAGAATCATCCCCCTTTGAGTTTCGTAGAGCTTCAATTTGCGCTTCTTTCCGTCGACGTATTTCTTTAACCCTGGAGCTTAAGTTGGAACCTGAACAAAAGGACATTAAACAAATAAATTAGTTTTCTTGAGTAAAATAATACATAATTTGATTACCAAGATTCAAATGTGCTAAAAGTTAATTGTCACAAGAATTACCTTTATGAAATCTAGTTGTCTTTTGCACATCTAAAGATAAAAAGGGATTATACCTTTCTTTAAAAATGAAAACAAAGAGCTTGTAACAGTAAGGATTATAAGCTACTCACTCTGCAAATTACCATCCGTTTTTAGCATCTTTGATTGTTTGTTCTCATCCTCAGATGACGACATTTCTAAGATTGATAATAAAACAAGAGTAAGTGAGAAAGAAAAAGAATGTTTAGAAAATTAATACAAAAACATTTGTTGAGTAAGAGGGCACAAATGACAAGCTACTAACTCCGCAAGGTACCATGCTTCTTTTTCTTCTTTGAGCGTTGATTCTCTTCCTCTGATGATGACATAATTTCTAAAATTGATGAAAACAGTGGTAAGAAAATTACAACCAATAAAATGGACAAAGGTTTTATTTTATTTTGAAAATAGATAGAAAAAGTCAACATACCTAATTCAAAATCATCATCGAAAGTCTTCTGCATCTCGAAAGGGTTTCTTGATAGAAAAACACCAACTTCAAGACTTGAGTCAGATAAAGTGTTAGGAGCTTAAATGAGAGTGAAAAAAAGTGTATTAGCCAATAGTTTAACATCAAAGCATACAAGAATTAATGAAACGCAAAATCACTTATTTCTTTACCTCTATTATCTGGTGGAATGTATTCATGTTCTTGATTTAAAGATTTATCAAATCTGATTTGATGAGATAAAATACCCTTCTGGGTTGCTTTAGAGTTGGTCCCAAAAGCTATGATAAAGGTAAATTTCCATTTTTTAATAATCAACATTATAAATGACTGAATGATTTTTTTAAAAAAATAGATGGATACAGTAGACGAAAAACAATATCAATCGTAAATACCTTCAGAATTTTTTACAGGTGATTGCAAGGGTACAGAAAACCTGAGTTTTCTGCCAAGAACTTTTGAATTACCACCTTAAAATGAGATTGAAATTGAATATAAAAGTGTTATCATGGGTAATATGACACTTTCATAACAGATACTTCAGTATTACTTTACTACTTATTTAATTCGTACTCTACCTAATGGTGCAGTGTCAATAATTTTGGGACTTTTCGTGACCCTTGATGAATTACTCTGATTTTCCCTTAGTTTTAAACTTTGAGCTCGTAACAAAATTCTTTCTTCTTCAGACGACGATACTCCTCCTAACATAACACAAGGCAACAAAGATATCTCAGCACAAATGAAAATACTAAATGTTTGATTTCTTAATTTAAAAAATCTATCATTGTAATCTGACAAACCATTGGAGTTTTCAGCTGTGTCTGGAGGTGTCTCAATTACAATATTAGTCTTTTCAGGAACAAGACTCGCACAAGTTTCACCTGAAAATAAAGGCTGGATTATCAGTAAACAAAGTCAGCTATACTGATACGAAAAATTAAAGACAAGTTCCTTAACAAAAGTTAAGAAAAGTTTAAAGAACAAACAGACCCTCAGGTGAAGGTTTATTCAAGATTTCAATTGTACTAGGTAGAATTGGTGTGGATGGAGAACAACCAACTCCAGACTTGTGAGAAATTTTACTTGTCTCAATCTTCTTTACACTGGGTTCCAGCGTATTACTTTCTGATATTAGAGAAGGGCGTTGAGATTCCACGTCTTGATGACATACATCTTCTGAAGGATTTATGTTTCTGTTGTCCTCCACTAATAGATAAATCAACAAAAATAAAATGATGAAGAGAGGATTCAAAAATAATTATCAGTTAGATAGATTAGGTACGTTGAGTTAAAGGAGAAAGACATAGAGATTCTAGTGCACACCAAGGTACATCTTCTGAGGGTCCCAGTTTCGGGTTTTCCTCTATTTCTATTAAAAAATAAACCTAATATGATATGACAATAAAAATCAGTAGTATTCCTAAACAGTTAAGTTTTAGAGTTTACCTTGCGATACGTTCTTGATGGGCTCTTCTTGTACCCTCTTACATCCTTCCCCACCTCCTAATTGGTCTCTCTCTACTGATTCAATTCTCTTGGGAGAAGCTTGATCTGATTGATCCTCATGATTTTGCGGAAAAGCAAAAGAAAAGACGTTTGCTTGTTTCAAGCAGTTATTTCCTATGTGAATTTCATAGGCAGACCGAAAGCAGAGTTTATTTCCTCCTGCATCATGGAAGATAGCATATTACACAGTTACATAATTAATACAATCACTCAAGAAAAGACAAAGCCTTCCCTTAAATTAATTTTTTTTAAAAAATATTCAGTACCTGGCATTTTGGCACTAGCACTGCCTTCCTCTGTAGGCGAATGACACTCTTCATTTGGTTGCTCAATGCAATCATTTACTTCTTTCCTTGATTTTGCCAAACAGTTTCTTTCCCCATCTCCCTGAATTGGTTGTCTTTCTATTAATTCAGTTCTCTTTAAAGATTGGTCATCAACCTTGAGACAGTTACTTACACCACTTTCAGATTTCTGGTCAATCCTGAGACAGCTACTCTCTTTTGCTGGAGACCCAGGATCAATTTCAACAACTTGTTTAGATGTTTTAGGTGGTGCAGGTTGCTCTAATGGTGTTTTACTGTTGATTTCTGGAACTTTTGGGACAGTTGTAACGTTGAGGGGGCTTACATTATTTTTTTGTAATCTACCGTGCAAGGATCTGTTGTCTTCTTGAACTGATTTCTGTACAACTTCTTGCGAAATTAGCCCTCTTGTGCTTCTCCTTACTGATGTCTTCTTGGATGGGTGTCCACTATCTTGTGAAGGGTGCTCCAATACTGATTTCTTACAAATCTGCACAACTTGCTCACATTTTTTTTCGTTCTGGGCAGGTGTAGTGCCTGTATAAGTTCCATGGCTCTTTCTAGTTCCTCTGCTACGACAGTTTACAGGCTTTGTAAAGCTATTTACCTTTTCTGTGCTTTTTTCTTTTAAACTACTTTGAGAATCATTGTAGGCATAGTCAGTGAATTGATCTTGGAAGGTTTTTGTGCCTCTAATGATGCCACCAGCATATTGTCTAGTGGTATCAGCTTGGTTCACAACTGACTGCAAAGGCACAATTCCTGAAAAATAATACAAGAAATTCAATGAAAATGTAAGTAACATCTGGAGCTATTATGCAAAAAGTAAACAAATATAAAATTACACACCTGGAAAGATGCCGGTTGTGTTTTCAAATTTTTTTTTACTAAATAGAAAATAAAAGTACAGTGATATAGTGATAAGTAGTTAAATGCAAATATCAATGAGGAAAGGAAATAACAAGATTAACAGTACCTAGGGTCAAGAAGCTGATCAAAAGCATCAACATCTTTAGTGGGGTTATTCCGCTTAACAACAAGGCTAGCAGTAGAATCAGCAAAAGGTGAAGTACCTTCCTGAAATCTGTACCGAATGAAATAAGTAAGCTGTTAACATATCACAAAGAATAAAATTATGACAACAAAATCCCACACACTTACCCATCATTATTAGTGCCATTAACTGTGGAAATAATTGGGGAGACCTTGAAAGATGGTATTCGTTTCACACTCATAAAAGGAGTGCTTGTAACTGGGATTAATGATCGTGAATTGCATTGCTTAGATTTCTTGCAAGTAGAAATTTTCGTGAAACTTGTGTGTGCATCCGTGTTTTTGAGAGTATTTTTGTCTGCACTTTTCCTTCCCCCCTTTTCTTTTGTACAATTTCCAACAGGACTTGTATTTACAGTGGAGGGAGTGGCAGCAAACCCTTCTGTGGGGTTACTTTGAGGTAATGCCGCTTCAGACGGGCCTTGAATTGAATTCTTTTCAGGTACCTGTGCGTTCAATGAGAATAATAACACCACATCTAAAATGATTCAAAACATTTTACAAATGGGAAAATGATAAATAACCGCTAACCTTGTTGTATAATGCATTCCAACTGTCATCCGAACCAGGATCAGATACTGCCAGGTCCTCTTTGAATCCATTTTTGTCCGATCTATGAGATATAAAAACAACTAAGATAAGTAATGATCAGGTTTGTTTTTTTTTATTTTTAAAAGAAAGCAGTGGAAGGGTTGACGGAATATAGAAGTAATAATTTGAAATCAAACTAGAAATATAGAGTACAATAGAGTAGACAACTACAACATAAGCCATGAAAACAAAATAGATTGAAATAAAATAGTCTAACTTGAATAGAAAGAAAGTCATTACAGGTTAAGGTCTCTCGCTTACCCTTTTTTATTAAAAATTCCGCCAAACTTCATGATTGATTTAACATCTAAATTAGATCCTCAGAAGAGTTGACAATCATTGTACCAGCACAATTCCAACTGGTATTTGTTGTTAAAACGCTTCTTAAACTTCGTTGTTGAAAGGAAAATTCACAACCCACAACAATAACAAATGTCGGCTCACATTCGAACTGCACACAACGGAAGACAGAACGCCAACATGTCATGTTAAATGTTTTCAAAAAATGGCTATTTAAAAAAATTTCTTTTCAATCTCACAAGAATTAAAAAGCAAAATTTTACTAATGTCTTTAGTATGACGACGTTTAAATAGCTATCCTGTTTTTCTATTCTTGTATAAAGCACGTTTTTGGAGTTTATAGTTTTACCGGTGACAAAAGAAGTGGAGCTGTTTTGGCAGTTCAAGGCGGCAGTAGCAGCCGAAGCCGAGCTCCGAGAAGACGTCTGATCAAACTGTTGTCTGTCAAGAACCGCTCCAAAAATGCCGAGTCAAGAGCCTGTGACTTCCAAAGTTGTGGTTCATCCACTAGTTTTGCTAAGTGTAGTTGATCACTTTAACCGTATGGGAAAAATTGGAAACCAAAAAAGAGTCGTTGGAGTTCTCTTGGGCTGCTGGCGAGCTAAAGGTGTCTTGGATGTATCCAACAGTTTTGCAGGTTAGTTGAAAAATCAAATCAGGGCAATCAAGTATACTAGCGTGTTTTCTTAGTAAATGTTCTCTTTAACTTAGCTGAATTTAATCATACTCTTGGGCCTTTCGCGCACCTGGTCACCATCCTCATGAAATAGCAATTTGACATTTGGCTGTATCATGGTTAACCTCAACAGTTTGAATGGGTGTCACTTTTAGAAAAAAAAAATCTTCCATCTTATGTGTTACTTCCTTTAATCATTGATTCTAATCTTTCTTGTTCTCAGTTCCGTTTGATGAAGACGACAAGGATAAATCTGTGTGGTTCCTTGACCATGACTATCTGGAGAATATGTATGGAATGTTCAAAAAAGTGAATGGTAAGGGACTTTTCAGTTTGGTTTGTTTTTCCTAGTTATATATCTTGTTTCTTTATGTGTAATCGATTGCAGATAGATTTTAATCTAAAATCTTGTTTGTATATTCTTCCAGCACGAGAGAAAGTTGTAGGCTGGTATCACACTGGCCCCAAATTACACCAAAATGACGTTGCAATCAATGAATTGGTTAGGAGGTACTGTCCAAACTCAGTTTTGGTCATTATTGATGCTGCCCCTAAGGATTTGGGCTTGCCCACTGAAGCTTACAGGGCTGTTGAAGAAGTTCATGATGTAAGTAACCTTATTATGTTCATGCTCATACTATTTATTGTCATCATTTTACGAATTGATCAAGTGCTGTTGTTAATGGTAACTATTCCATTCCTCATACAGGATGGCTCTCCTACAACCAAAACTTTTGAACATGTACCTAGTGAAATTGGTGCTGAAGAGGCTGAGGAAGTAGGTGTTGAGCATTTATTGCGTGACATTAAGGATACTACGGTTGGAACCTTATCACAGAGGATCACAAACCAGCTCTTGGGCCTGAAGGGCTTGCACCTTCAAATACAGGAAATCAGAAACTATCTTGTTCAGGTCTGTTAATTGAACTTGTATTATTTTCTCACTTTAAATTGTAAGGTGAAAGAACTATAACCAAAATGCTTTTCTAAAATTGCAGGTCACTGAAGGCAAGCTGCCAATCAACCACCAAATTGTGTACCAATTGCAAGATATTTTCAATTTACTCCCAGACGTTTCAAGGGACACATTTGTTGATTCACTTTACACCAAAACAAATGACCAGATGCTGGTGGTGTACCTTGCTTCACTTGTACGCTCCATTGTCGCCTTACACAATCTCATCAATAACAAATTGACTAATAGAGAATCTGAAAAGAAGGAAGTTACTGCAAAAAAAGAAGAAAGCAAGGAGAAAAAAGACAAAGAAGGCAAAGAGAAAGAAGATGACAAGGAGAAAGATAAGGATAAAGTGACACCTGCATCAAAGGATGATAAAAAGAAATAAATTGCAATGTTCTGAATTTTTGTAATTATTTTTAAGTAAATATAACTTATGTAATTTTCTATTTGTCACTAATTCTGACTCATATTACCTCATGGGACAAGACATTGAAACCAATGTATCAAAGTGGTTACACTGGTTTATTGAAGAGTATTTCATTTTTCGACTCAAGAAATACTTGATATTCCAGACGAAGGTTACAAAGAGTAACCAAACTGCAGTAAATACTTGCTTAATCACTGGTGTCTCAAAGAGGTATAAGTTCTAAGATTTTAATGGAAAGTTGGAACAGAGCGGTGAATCATTAAATGTGGGAAAAGTGAATTTATTGACTGTGATGGAATGTTATGGCAAGTGGTAATTATTCAGATATCTTGATTATATTTTACTTGCATGGAGTTGAGCTTCACAACTTCAATGGTGTCATGTTAACGTGTTGTTTTTAATTGGCAAGAGTGTATATAATTTTCATTAGGATGAGAGGATAAAGACTAGGAGAAATAAATTCAATCAAAATACTTACCAACTTTAATTTAAATTATTTTGATCATTTTGATCATATCCTTCCATTCCGCAGAGTCAAAGTAGCCAAAGCTTAAGAAAAAAAAAAAGATTTAAGAGGAAAAAGAGATTTATTTCACATGAAATCAGATGCCTATCTACATAGTCTTGCTGCTCCTCTCCTCAAACTTTCATAACACCAAACTACCATTTGGCCAGCAAACGGCATTATTGAAGTGGAGAACAATAAACGTTTATGCATTCAGCATTTTGTTTCAAAACAGCATGGAAGCAAGGGTATCACAATTCAGTCAGTCTCAAGAGAAATGGTGAGAAGACCGTTTCAGAACATAGAGACATTATGATCATCTGATTTGATATGGTCCGGATAAAACTATTGGGAGAGTGGTAGGGGTTATCTGCTAATAACTTGTACATCAAGCTGAACATCTTAAGCTGTAGTATAATGTCCTATTGAACATGATAATAATTGTGACATTATCAGTTGCAGAGTTCATTTATAAGAGAATCACCACACAAGCAATACCAAGTTTCTATGCAAATTATCCCCCTCCTTTTTTTCTTCTTCTTCTTAGCTTGTGTGGCACAGGTGAAAAAAAAGGGAAGTTCAGTGCAAGAATGGAAGAGGAAATGTAAAATTGTGAGATATACATTACTGTGCACAATACATAGATTTGCTATTAGTTTTAAAATTAATTAACCCTGAAGCCAAAGTGGAGCAGCTCCAGGAAATATATATCAGTGTTTGAATTATGAAGTATAGTAGTACTGACGAAAGAACAGTACAGTTGTCGATATCTCCAATGATGCGGGGAAGTAGCTTTAATAGGTGCTGCAGAAGGCAAGTTGACATTTCATTGCTGCCACGACTACCCTCAACCTCACTCCACATGTAACAATGTAAGAGTTAACCCAGCAGTACATTAAATACTCGTCGTCGATCTTCACTGGATAACGGAGAAAGGTAGAGAAAAAGTTTCTCATTCAGGCAGGTTTGGTCTCTTGTAGAATCTGCCAGGCAGGCCCTGCCAGAAATGTCATGTCTCATAGACATCTAAGGGGACCATTTAGACGTCTAAATGGTCACCTTAGACATGGCAGTTCTGGCTGGGCAGGGATGTTACGCTCAGTGCTATCCAGGGAACAGGAAAATGTCAAAGTAAGCTTGAAATCACATAAGATTGACGTCTTCCCCCATACCATTAAATACTTCGTTCTTGGAATAAAAAGAGTTTAGGAAGACAAAGAGGTAAAAGAGCAAGAGGAAAGAAATATTTACACATATAGTGTTGAGGAGACTGCCAGTTTTAAGCCTATTGAATTATGGAGTAGGAGAAAATGAATTGTGCATTCTCACAGCCAAACTGCTTCTTACTTCACTACACTACATTATTAATTAGAACCATTAGCAATAACAGGGAAAATACACAATCAAATTAAAGATTCCCCAAAGTTCAAAAAAGTGACTGGTTTGCTCCTGATCCTAAAATCTAAAGTTAAGTGAAAATCACAATTTTAAGAATATAAAATCTACAATATAAAAACATGTGCTTAAAGAACAGAATTTGAACTTTGTCCCTTATACATTAAAAGAATAAATAGTAGTTGAAATGTTTAAACAACCAAGTTGACCCGGATAGATGTGAAGCAATATCATCAATCTCCATGTTAAGTACTATGCTTAAGAGGTATTGCTACTAAAATGAGTTTACTAAGATTACCTAGTTTTTGTATCTTAAGTAAAATTATGTAAAATTAGTCATATGTGGTCTGAAAGAGTCAAATTCAATTAAAATATCATTTTAAGAAAATAATCAGTTCTTGAACTACAATAATCTCGTCCCTCCAACCAGCAACAGGGACATTCAATCATCCCCAAAACAAATGCAATAATTATAAAGAGTAAAAGGAAGGCTAAGAAAGACCATATTTTAAAAGGAAGAATGAAAATTGTGAGCAAACAACACACATCAATAAATATTACCAGAGTGGTTGATGTGACCACAAGTACTTAACAACCAAAATGTTGACGTCTGAAAGGAAGAAAGAGTAAGGGAAAAAAGGGGGCTCTAGAAGGCTAGACTACCTAATCACAACACTCTTACTGTAGTAGAGATATGCAACATTGCACAATTTCAAGGGTACGGACGTTTCGAAAGAGACAAATAAACAAGAAAACAAATTCATAATGTGCTGGTATATGCTTTCACGGCATTGGATTGGTCCCTCCAATCTATTATTTGTACACACTGATGTGTTACGGATTTGCCTACAGCCCTCGGCCGTAAGACGCCATGGCCCGAGCGAATGTGCAAGCCCGCAACACAACCCGGTGCACTACAATGTGCAAATCTATGCTGATGTGTCCTCAGACGTTACGTATTTTCAGCACCTCAAAGAAACGTCAAAAATGCCACATACACTGTACTGTGTTGATCGGTAGTGAGAGTATTTATGTTTACA